CGGATTTATCGTGTTTGAGCGTTTTCAAATCTTCGCACAGCTTTTGCTTTTCACTCAGCAGCACCTTCAATTCGTTATCTTTCTCCGCCTGGAGCGCTTTCAATGCATCGTTATTTTTCTCGATGTCCAGAATGGCCGCCTCCTTGTCATGTTTCAACACTTTAATCGACTCGATTTCCCGAATCAATTCGTTAATTCCCTTATCCTTGTCATCCAGTTTCGTTTTGAACGCAACGATCTCCTCCTGCAAGGCTTTCTCGTTATCCTTCTTTTCTTTAGCTAATCTATAGTACATGTCATCTTTCCTCTTGTTATCCTCTGCGAGCAAAGCCTTGTCCTTCTCTAGCACTTCCAGCGCAGATTTCATCTCGTTCAGCTGCAGCCGGAGTTCGTTCTCTTGACGCATACTTTCCTCCTTCACGCTCTTCAGCTGATCCTCGAAGTGGACGCGCTTTTGGATCTCAGTGGAATTAGGTTTCGAGAGAGGCGCCTCGACAGTGTAGTTGATGTTCGGTGGTCCTATGCGCTCTATACTGGACAACTCCGGCGCCAGATGGAAATTCGTAGTTTCCGCGGACAGTTCCAAGCTGGCGCATCTCGATTCCGCCTTCCTCATTGGATCAACGTAGACATCGCTCTTATTCATCTTTTCAGAATTAATCGTCGCGTACAGCTCGAGCTGCTTCTCAGTATCAGACAGCTTTATTTTGAGGATTTCGATATCCCTGTTTTTATCTGCTATTATGTTATCCACCAGATTGGGCAGCAGCTGATTGTTCTGAGCATCGCTCTCTATTTTGGCGCGAAGCAAATCGTTCTCCGACTTCAACTTGTTCATCTGGTGCTGAAGATCTGTTAAAACATCATCGTCGCTTATTTCAGATTCACGATCGTGCAGCCGTTGCCGCGTCTCCTCGATTATCTTCTTCAGTTGCTTGATGGTACTTTCTTTGGAGTGCAGAGTGTCCATGAGGTGCTGAATCTCCGTTTCCAACTCGTGAATTCTCATCTCCAATTTGGAATTGGTCTGCTTCTGACTTTGATCCGCTTGGATCCTCTGATCGTCCAAGCGAATTTGAAGCGAAGATATTAGTACCAGTTGCTCCGAGAACTGCTCCTGCAATATGTTCTTCTCGTTGTGAACCTCCTGTAATAATAGTAAGTAGGTTAATTGGTGGTAATGTTCGCTTTATGGTTTACTGCTTACATCGAAATCGGCTTTAAGCGAGTTGAACTGCATGTCCAAATCTTGTATCCTTTTGACAGCCATTTGTTCGGCCCTCGTGTGTCTGATCAGTTTTTCCTTGAGCCTGGCCAGCTGCTGCAATGGAATGTCGCAATCGTCCGCTGTCGATGTAGGAGTTTGAGGCCTTATTTGATCGCGCGCCGACATTTCCTCTGAAGGTGAGCTGCACGTCGTCGAAGCCAATTGCACGCACTCCAAGTCTCTGATACCCCTGTCCACGCCCAACTCGAACTCGTGCAACTGAAAAAAACTACAATTAAGTACACACGATAGTTAAACAACGCACAAAGATTCTACCTGATGCTGAATGTGGTTCAAAACACTTTTATTCCCAGCCAACTCGTTGGTGACTCTCAGCTTCTCTATCTCCTCCTCCAGCTGCTGTATCTGATGGTTTTTACTATCCTCACGTTGCTCCAACAGCAAAGCCAACGACTCGTTGGTTTCCCTATGCTGTTCCACCAGCTTCTTGTAAGCATCCGATAGTTCCAACTCGGAAGTCTCCTTCTCCTTCAGCTGAGTCTCCAAGTGGACGATGATCTCGCGCAGCCCGTGCACCTTCTCTACGGCTTCATTTTTCTCGCGCTCTACAATTGCATGCTGAACCTCCTCATGGTGAAGATGCTTCGTAATCTCGCGCATCTGCAGATCCAAAT